TACTACGTCAATGGAGGTCAAAAAGGCTTCAGAACAAACACCAAACTTGGTTCTGCATGAGATGTGGCCAAGCAACGCATACAATAGCATTGCCGGGCCAAATGCATCATCAATGGCGCTTCCAAACATATTTAGACTCTCACAGTTTCTGACACCATCTCTAGCAAACACACATTTTGCAAGTCACTATCAAGCGTGGCCGGCAACATCCCATGAGGTTGGTGCGGTCAACAGCTGCTACTGATACTCTTGCTTTTGACTCGGAATGTTTCTCAACTTGTTCTCAACTTGTTGGCCGAAATTTGCAACATGGCCGGACAAACTGCTAAAGCTGGAGACTTAGTCGAAGCCAGCCCTGGCCTGGCAAAAAGGTGCCCAATGAAAAGTCCGCTGCCCCTCGGCAACTGGCTTAGGGAACAAGCAGCAAATGCCACAAAACATGCAACGCCTTAATACCTCTTCCATGCAGTTAGGGCAATTCACTCGAATTCATCATCCACAAGCACAGCGCGGCGAACCATCTGTCGTCCAATTCGGGAAATCCACTGTTCCTTCTCTTCTGGAGTCCGTGCAATCAAAAGAAATGCACGTTCCGGAGTTTGAACACAAATCGAGTTCTCCTTGCCGGAGATGTCCTCGGCACTCTTCACAGTTTGGCAGTCCCCGAGTCGAATGAACTCAGTTGGGTTCCTGTATTCACCTTGATTCTTGAAGCTGCAAAGGTACTGCGGCGTGAGAACAAACCAACGTTGCCTCCACTCCTTCATGAACTTCGACTGCTTCACCATGAATCCTTCCATCACAATGTCGTCCCTATGAATGACAATCTGCTCGGCCATGGCTGTGAGTGTCAAACTATTCAAACTGCAGGTGCCTACTACGTCAATGGAGGTCAAAAAGGCTTCAGAACAAACACCAAACAGCATTGCAATCCGCAAAAAGTGGTGCAAGTCATGTTTTATACAAAATGTTCCGGTGGTCTTCGAACCCTGAAGCATGTCTCTTAATCTGGCTCTCCAACCATCAGCCTGCCCCCAGCTGAACCACGGAAGAACCCCCACGTTGGACAGCCGAGGTGCAGATAGACCCTTGGTGCCCTCCGGGCCAAAGCAAATCTTTCGAGAATCCCCGCTGGAGCCGAGTTCCGGCCACTTCATGGTCCGAAAATCCATCCAGGCAAGCATCTGCTTCCTCACGCCGGATGGGCCGCTTCGGCTTCTAACTCGAGTGAACTATGGGGGCGTGAGTCACTTGGCAATCCAGCACGCAAACATGAAAAACAATGAGTTCCGTTGGCCCTGGTTGGAACATGGGGGAAATACATGGAAATACAACGGCTTCATCTCCAAAGCCAAGCCAGAACGCAGGACAAACAAAGTTCCAAACAGGACTGGAGGATAAATCGATGAAGCACAAAAGCGATCTGGATCTTGAAAATCTGTGACCTCCTGCGAATCTTGACCCTCAAATTGACCCATTGGTGCAAGTGACCATGGATGAACAGTGCTTTTTGGTGAGTCTTTGTCACAAGGTCTCTGTGATATAGAATCAATATAGAAGGCAGCAGGTCGTGCACAGGGAACTGTAGAGAGCTCGCTGTTTCAGAAGATCCCTCAAACTTGAGGTCTAACTTTGGGTTTCATGGGTCAGGCATGGTAAGGCAGCTTAAGACATCTTAGAACCGACATGCCAAGCAGCAAAATCATAAATTCCATAGACATTTCGCAAAAGACGCACGGTGCAGGATGCCATTCACTCGCAAACCATGCTTCTGAGGTGATGGAGGTTAAATACAGGGCGGTTCTGAATGGCTTTGTGAGCATATTTTGAACCCATATCATCCTCTTATCTGACAATGTGTTGCTCTGAAGTTTTATATTCTTTTGTAAGAGGCCCAAGCACCGAGGAAAATTTCAGCGATCCTCTTCGCCACTTTGTCCAGTCCAGTGGCTGTTGCTGTGGACACCATGGAAGGTCTGGCTCTTGGTCCCAGTCCGAAGTGTAAAACGACAGCAGGGGTAAAAGCCTCAGCTGCAGGTCAAAGACTTTCGACGACCCCCCTTTCGGTGCATGGATCGGTGCTGAAAGGAATAAACATGGCCAAACGCTGGTTGCCTTCAACTCCCGGTGGCACCAATCACAGGGTCCTCCAACCCTGTTCCACCACATTCCACATTCGCACAGGCTCAACACACTGAGGGACAAAAGGCTGCGTTGCTCGGTCTTGAGCTCCAGCGGGCTGAAGCGCACGCGTCCCCGCAGCTCCGACTCCTCTCCCTCGCAGAGACGCCGGAGCTGGCGAAGCTTGGCCAAGCTATCGGAGCAATCACCGCTCTTCCTCCCACGCACCCGCCAGTCTACGTGGATGCTAGGTTGAGTGGATATATTGAGCAAAAAACACTGCTACTAAGCTACTATTTGAGGCACATGAACGTCTCCAGCTTGTTCCGTTCTTGATGAGATGTTTGAAACACAATGACACAGGTGTGACGAAAACAAACAAGCAAACAAACAAACAACGTGCAACTCATTTTCAGGAGTGCAAAACAGGAAAATACAATATGTTTAATCAATATTACAAATATATAAATCACATGTATCTGAATCTGCAGTTTACAATGTTTACACAAACATGACCTTGCAAATGTCGTACATCTGCCTTTATATGGAATATGATCTTCGTACTTTTGGTAAACATGACGAACACTAGTAACACTACAAGACATTAAAGCATTGAGAAATAACCATATCAAACAAACATGGAACATCTCAGCTCTGAGTGTTTGGATATGCTTTCGGACCTTCAAATCTTTCCTTGTGCATACTTCCCAAATTCGAGATGTTTCATTTGTGTTTCAAAGCATTGTCGCATGTTTGTTCAAACCAAGAAACCATGCTTCCTAAAGGTCCTAGAAGCTTGCTGACGAGAACGTCTCAGCACTATGTATGCAATCTACAATGCATGAATCTACAACTGTCGGACACGACTAATTAATACACATTATACTGCTACAACACGTACCCTGCTACCACTGTTTTTCCTGCTGCTACTACTGCTGCTATTCTCGCTGCCACTGCTTTCGCCACCAATCCACTGCTAGTCCTACATCAGCGCAACAACAACAACTGGTGTTTGCATGTGCGGGAGCATCCTATCAAATAATAAGGAACTACATTGGCTGCCGGGAAAGTATGAAGGCAGGCCAGGGTGAGGGTCCAACAAATTGAGCGCAATCTTGTTACAAATTGAGCGGAACAAAAGGTGACAATGGTGACACTCACAGACCTCCACATAAATCAGTGATGAAAAGAACTGACTCGCGCCGAAATGCATCGAAGGATATCGGTGGGCAAAAATGGTCCTCAACCAAAGATCGTGGTTTCCTGGAGTGTAACACACCACATCGAAAGACTCCTCGGTGGACGGGAGATTGGTCAGATTCATAGGGGTTTTGTGGCGACCTCGTGGGGAGTCTGCCAAATATGTGAGCAACAAATGGCTGCTTGATGATCAGCCTAGTGAGTGCCAAAGACTTCCACAATGGAGACGGCGGGTTGGCCAGCGGAATCATGTGGGGTCAATGGAGTCCCCCCCTTTCAACGACTCTGCTGTGCGGGTCTCGATCAACATCTTCATGGCTTCCTTGAAAATGACGGGATCGTCTGAGACATCTCCTCGCACTGTCCGACACTTCTCGACGAAACCATGCACTGTGGGTGAATTGAGTTGAAACATGTGAATCTCTAGAAATATATAAGACTGGACTGCTGGACTAGCAAGTGGCGCAAAGGTAAAAATGATCTAGCAAAATTTGATGTGTTTTTGATGCTTTTGCCTGCCGAGACCTGTTTGAACTGCTTGTGACGGCTTGCTTGTGGCACGTGAGCTCCTGGGAGAAGAAGGACATTGAAATCATCCGGTGCCTTTCTGGGCAAATGCTTCCTGACTGCAAATTCCAGCTGCAACAGCCACGCTAAGGTTGGAAAATTGTAACAGATTTTGAGGTGCTATTGTTGTGTGCAGTGATTCCTGTCTTTGCCTTTGCCGGTTTTTACATGGAGGCCGTCTTTCCTTACCCAGCATTTGCGACAGCAACAACGGTCTGAGCATACCCTGAATACTCTCAATACCCGATATCCCGAGCATCTGAAACCATTCCATGTTGGCCTTCTGATCCACGTGGATGTCGCTGATCCTCGGACGCCCAACAAACAAACGCCACCGAACAAGCAACGTAGCCCGCAACGGACACTGGTGGAGCCGAAAAAGCGGACGTCAACTGAAGAAACAACATGAAACATCATGAAACATGTGGCCCGAATGAAAAGGAGTGAACGCTTTATATATATTTCCAAAGTGCTTGCGTTTTGAAAATCTCCCTGAGGAGCCATGAAAATGAACAAACTCAAGCAACATCTCTGGTCCCAATTGCTCTTGCCATGGCTCGTGGCCACCCGCACGCGCAGGTGCTTCGGTAACTCCAAGCACTCCACTTCAAGGCGGCCGCCAAAAAGCTCTGACACGGAGGTCACGGCCTGGCATCGATGGCGTGAGACACGGATGCCCGGTCCGACGTGTCGGGAGCACGAGAGTGGAGTTTCACGCAGCCCCAAGCAATGACCAAAGGGCTTGGTTTTTTTTTGCCCTGTTTTGGGCGCTGTTTCGACACGTTTGCCTCAGGGTTTCAAACGGACCTGGTACATTTGGGGGAAGGTTCCTTTTTGACCTGTTTTGAGGTGCCAAGGTTTCAAACGGACCCGGTCATTTGGGGCCGTACCTCCCAAGGTTCTGTATTGACATGGTTTGGGGCGCATGGTTTTTTTTTTGAACTGTTTCGGGCGCTATTGCGACTCAGGGTTTCAAACGGACCTGGTAGATTTGGGGGCAACACCTCCCAAGGTTCTTTTTTGACCTGTTTTGAGGCGCCAAGGTTTCAAACGGGCCCGGTAAATTTGTGTTGGCCTCATTGAGCGTCTTGAACAGCACACAGGAGAACCAGCACCAGCAATGTTGAAAGCACATGAACGCCCAGCAGCAGCAGCAGAGAGAGTGGAGGAGAGTGAACGTCCAGCGGCAGCACATGTGAGTGATTTACCAGCTGATGAGTTGCGTCGGCTGAAGTCGCAGGATCTTCCCATGGATGCCTCACGAACATCACGGCTTGTTCCCACATCGGGAAATAGGCCGAAGAAGAGAAGTGTTGGTTTTCGAGGTGAGTCAAGTTCCTCTGTTCCTGTTCAGGCACCAGATCCCACTGCTGGAGCATCAAAGGCGGATGCATCGACATCACCACCTGTAGAGTCAATGGAGACGAGTACTCCAGCAAGTGATCCGCCATTGCAGGTGGAGAGATTTGCACCAACACATGGATGTCCCAGTTGCCAGACAGGAATGCAGGCGCCCGGGATCAGGCATTCAGCGACTTGCAAGAAACGCTATGCTGAGTGGTCTGAACAGTTGAAGTTGAAAGAACGCAGGATTGAGTACCCACCATCGGAAACATCAGTGGATGTCACAGTTCCCACACCTGTCATGACCTCGGATTCTATTCCTCGTGAACAAGAGTTTCAGCAACGGTTCAAACGAAAGGCAGAGACGGAAGCAGATCACTTGGAACAGGAGATCAAACGGCAGGCGATGGAACTAGAGGCCCCCATGGACTCCTTAGGATTTTGTTGGGTTGAAACGGGTGAGCCAGTACAGCTTTGGAACTTGTCGCAAATTGAGGGTGTTCCATCTTTCTCACCTGTGACTGGCCCGGACATGTTTGATCAGGATGTGTGGGAAATGAGCGCCATTCGTTTTGATCATGGTCATGTTTGTGAACATATACCCATGGAACTAGGAGGACGCACAGTTTTGATTTGGAAACCAACGGCCATCATTGATGACCAAACATTGGATGAATTGAATGTTGAACAAGGGTTTGTAGGAATGCAAGAAGAGATCTACAATTTGGAACACTGCAAAACAGGTAGGACGATTTCAGAAATGGAAATGAAATCCTTTTGCAAGAAGTTTCCCAGTGCGCGGTTAATCTCAAGTCGTTGGGTTGCAGCTTTCAAGTCAGCAGAGCGAGTGAGGACTCGCATTGTTGCCAAAGACTTCAACAGAGGTCAATCAGCCAGGAGCCTTGGCTTTTCTTCACCGACACCATCTATTGAAGCGTTGCATAACATGGTTTGGGGCGCGAGGTTCTTTTTTGCACTGTTTTAGGTGCTGCTTCGACAAGTTTGCGTCAGTGTTTCAAACGGACCTGGTAGATTTGGGGCAGTGCCTCCCAAGGTTCTTTTTCGACCTGTTTTGAGGTGGCAAGGTTTCAAACGGACCCGGTGCATGTGGGGCCGTGCCTCCAAAGGTTCTTTATTGACATGGTTTGGGACGCAAGGTTCTTTTTTGCCCTGTTTTGGGCGCTGTTTCGACTCAGTGTTTCAATCGGACCTGGTAGATTTGGAAGCAGTGCCTCCCAAGGTTCCTTTTTGACCTGTTGAGGTGTGAAGGTTTCAAACGGACCCGGTCATTTGGGGCCGCGCCTCCCAAGCTTCTTTATTGACATGGTTTGGGGCGCAGGTATTATTTTGCACTGCGCTGTTTCGACAAGTTTGCCTAGGGCTTCCCGCGCACAGGCTAGCACCCAAACAGGTCAAAAGGAAACCCTTCCACGGCCTCCCCACTCGCAGGCAAGCGCCCAGGTCAAAAAGCAACCCTACACAGGTGCCCAAACCTTCCGTCACAACCTTTCGCAATCCCGCTTGCAACCCGAAACGTGACAAGGGGAGACAAAGCAAAGTCATCTTGACATGCCATGGGAGACAAGGGGAGACAAAGGGAGACAAAGCAAAATCATCTCAGCCCAGCATCCGAGGGAGACAAGGGGAAGCAAAGAGAGACAAAGGGAAACAAAGCAAAATCATCTCAGCCCAGCCTCCAGACACGCCATGGGAGACAAAGGGAGACAAATCATCTCAGCCCAGCGTCCAGACACGCCATGGGAGACAAGGAGA